GGGCACGCAGGCCTGGGCCCACCCCATGTCTCACACAGCTCTGCCCCGCTCCTTAATGCCCTCAACCCAGGCCTTTAATAACCTGGAGAATCTGGTCTTTGGCAAAGGATTCCAAGCAAAGATCTTCCCGGAGAGTAAGTAAAAAGTGGGGGTCGAGAATTTGAACCCTCTCTTCAACCTCCCACCCCCACCCCCCACCTGAGTTTCCAGGCGCTTAGAAGGTAATGGTTGTTCAGGAGAAGGAAGTAGGTGAATAAGGCTGTGGGGACAGATCACACCTTTGGATCCAGCACTTTAGCTCCTGGGATTGGAGCTGGAAAAGAAGGCCTCTGAAAGCAAGAAACTCGGTTGCCTTATGGCTAGTTCCCCTGGAATGTTTGAGGGGCGCAGGCACGTGTGCACCCGTTTTGCATCCATCCATGTACTGGGGAGGGGGGGGGGCGTTCCTTGTTCCCACCAGAAGCAGCAGCCGGAAGGACCGAGTTCACTGAGGGTCCTGATGTGAAGGTGACCCCGTGTCAGTGAATTCTATCTGAGATGATTGTGAAGAGCCTCAGTGTTAGACACACCAAGTTTCTATGTGAGCAGGAGTCCTGACCAAATTAGAATAACGTTTAGATGGCTTCCTGTTTGAAATCACCCTTGTTACTGCTCATGCAATCGAGATTTGATGTGATTTAGTTACTTATGGAGAATTAAGTTCATAAAGCAAATTAGGTGTCAAGGCCAGATCACACCAAGAATGCCGCGTGCTCAGAAATTGCCCACAGAGGCCCTGCCCCTTCCTGTGGCAGCACAGATGCTGGGGCAGCCAAGGCAGTGGGGGCAGGCGCAGGGGTGGGAAGGGGGTTCCCTTCTCACCACCCCGCCCTGATGCCTTCACTGGGGCCAGCTGCCAGCTGCTTGTCCTCTGCCCTCACTGCCTCATGAAGCCACTGGTTGTGTTGGTCCTCAGTGGTCCTGGTGGACCTAGTGGTGGAGAAATATGGCTCCTCACACCTTTCTGCAGGAGAACTTTTTTTTTTTCTGTAGGAGAACTTCTTGATGAAAGGAAAACCCCAGATTCATAGTTTGGTGAACTCTTTGAAAAGTACATTAAAGATCAAAAGATTGTGCCAGTTGCGATAACTATCTGTGTTTTTTTTTTAAAGAACTCCAAGTTGCCTGGCCAGCGTGGCTCAGCATGGAGGTTCAATTCCCCATTAGGGCACATGCCCAGGTTGCCGGCTTGATCCCCAATAGAGGGCGTGCAGGAAGCAGCTGATCAATGATTCTCATCAGTGATGTTTCTATCTCTCCCTCTCCCATTCTCTCTGAAATTAATTTTTAAAAAAATAAAAAAAGAACTCCAACTTAAAAAAATATATATATGTTTTTATTGTTTTCAGAGAGAGGGAGAGATAGAAGCACTGATGAGGAGATTTAAAAACCACTGTACTTGGGTCAGAAAAGTCATATATCTTATAAGTGTTTTTGAAAAATTGACAGCAAATGCGATCTCGTGTGAAGCCCTCCTCTAGGTCTTGCTCTCCACCGGGCCCTCTTGCGAGCGAGAGCTCCTTCCGTCCAGCAGCCCCAGGGCTTCTCCCTGTTAGATTTTGTTTCCATGTGAATTGTCTTCATTTACTGGAAAGAAACCTTGTTGTGGGGCAGGGTTCTTGCCCCTCTTTTCCCACCGGGCAGGTGGGGTTTGCCCTTGCTTTCTGCCCCCCCCCCCCTTTCTCTCCAGTCCTTCTCTAGCTCTGAGCCTGCCCTGCCCTCATCGGGGTGTGTATCCAAACACTCTGCCCCATCCCATGTCCAGGCAGTGAGGCCCTCAGTGTCCACCACTGGCCAGTTTAATGAATCGATCCCCATTGGCTGGCTTCTGTTGAGAGGCCTTGACCCTCTTCCCAGAGAGGGAGCGAGCCGTGCCCTTCAGACTCTGTTATCACTGTTGCTTTTCCCTGGAAGGAGGCCAGGAGAGGGACGTTGGGTGATAGCTGGGGCAGAGCAGGTGCTGAGCATGCATCTGCCTCCGTGTCCTGGGCATCAGGAGGGCCATCTGCATTTTTCTGCTGTCGTCATGCCACATCCCTCTAAGCAGGTTCCCCAAGATTCGGAAGGCCCCTCGGGGAATGCATTTACAAGGCAGGTTGGCGCCAACCTCAGCCCTCCACCCAGCCATCTCTGGTGTCCTAGTTGCAGGCTGCCTGTACCTGACCTACCAATTAACCCTGGCGTGTACCTAGTATTCGGAATACTAGACATACGAATGCCGGTATTTCCATTCTGACCTCTACCCCCTGTGCTCTCTTGCCTCCCCAGTTCTCTTCTGCCTCCTGTTGGCTCTTTTTGCATCTGGCCTCATCCATCGAGTCTGTGTCACCACCTGGTAAGTGCCTGCCCGCTGGGTAAGGGGTACAGTATCCTGTCCCTCGGGCCTGGACCGCCCTTTGATGGCTCCACCCTTCCCCATATTTCCCTCCCGCTCCCTTCTCCCCTTCCCCCTTCCCCATTTTCTTAAACCTGAGCCTGGATTGTTCTCCTGATGCTGGTGTCTGTCCTGGGAGGCACCAGGCTGGCAGCAGGCCCACTGATGCCGGGACCTTTTTGTCTCCGCCCTGTAGCTTCATCTTCTCCATGGTCGGTCTGTACTACATCAACAAGATCTCCTCCA